TAAGAGTCTTCCCAGACTAAAACCCCAGTTCCCAAAGTCCTCTAGCCACAACAGTGTGAATTTCTCAGGGAGGTGTCAGTCTCATCCTTTTGTTCCTCCCACACGGTTCTGGTGAGCTAAGAAAATGCTTATCTCCCTGAGCTTGGCCTTCATAATTCCATTCCATCACAGATATGCCCCTTAAGTCCTTTAGCCACAACAGTGTGAATTTCTCAGGGAGGTGTCAGTCTCATCCTTTTGTTCCTCCCACACGGTTCTGGTGAGCTAAGAAAATGCTTATCTCCCTGAGCTTGGCCTTCATAATTCCATTCCATCACAGATATGCCCCTTTATGGATTGGGAGGCCCTCCACATGGTCACTCATGCCCTGGTCACCTCTTGGTTGGATTACTGCAATGTGTTCTACATGGGGCTATCCTTGAAGAGTATCCAGAAGCTACAGCTGGCACAAAATGCAGCAGCACGGACAGTTTTGAATGCCCCCAGGGGGCACATATAACATCTCTGTTATGCGAGCTGCATTGGTTGCCCGTTTGCTTCCAGGTCCAATTCAAGGTGTTGCTTATTACCTTTAAAGCCCTCCATGGCACTGGACCAGGTTATCTGAGAAGCTGTCTCGTCCCCCTTATATCAGCCCGCCCCACTTGGTCTGGCAGAAGGGGTATGTTGTGGACCCCACCAGTCAAGGAATTTTGGCTGGTGGGGTCTAGGAAGATGGCCTTTTCTGCTGTGGCCCCGCTCTGTGGAACAACTTACCACCTGAGGTGCGGTGCGCCCCCACCCTCATGGCCTTCAGGAAGAGTGTGAAATCTTGGCTATGCCAGATGGCCTGGAGGCCTGATGGGGGCTCACATTGTTGGAATTGGCTTGTGGGGTAATTGATTATGCTCCCCCCCCGTCTTGAATTATCTAGTCTTTTTATGTATCTAGTCTTTTTAGATACTATTATTTTTAGGTAATTTAATATGGATGTTTATTTTTACTGTTTTCAATGTATGATTTTAATTGTGAGCTGCCCAGAGTCACCCTCTGGGGGAGGTGGGCGGCATATATATTTAATAAATAAATAAACCAATCCTTAAGAGGGGGGACGCGGTGGCGCAGCGGCTTAATGACGCTGAAAGTTGCTGGCCAGAAATGGTCAAC